AGACTACACCGCAAAGATCACGTAAATACTGAACGACTCAAACGCCGATAATGATAATTAATTACGTCATAGCGATTTGGTTGGTAGAATACTGATGTAAAATAACACTATTCATAGAATATTAACTTTGAAAAAATCTTGAGTAGTCTTCGAACCGCTCAAAGATGTGGCCAAGATTACACCTAGTACCACGTAAAATCATTGAAAATACTACAAAAGCGTGACTCTGGGACAACACCGAATTTTGTTTGGTATAACAAAATTGGTGTAAATAGTATTCTACACCTAGGTGTAGAATAGCCGCCATATATATAGAATGTGCTCAATTTTGTTTTCCCCTTCAATTTTGCCCTTGTGTTGGGGCATGGTCTTATTATCCATGGTTATGACAATTTTGCCCTTCAATGTTTGGAGCTTGGCCTTTATGTGAGGCCCAATGTAGCTAGCATGCTTGTTGTGGTTTTAGCTAGTTTGTTTGTAAACTAGTCACTTATTTGTTGTCAAGTAAGTGTGGCATTTAATCTTTATTGGTTTGCTCGTAAACCTAGCCATTCATCACAATGTAGAATGAGAGTTATCCTCCATTCCTTCTTGGGCAAACCATTTGGCAAATCTTAATAATTACCGCTAAGTCTGTCTTTGAAACCGACTACCACTCACGCTGAACATAAAATAGACTATCAATGGTCCAAAAAAAGCATCGCAAGGATTTCAAGCCTCATAAAGACCATAGTTGCTCTTTAATATGAAGTTGACCCCTTAACTAATTCTACTAATCGCTTTAGGGACTCTGGGCTATCTTCGATCGAAGCCCCTCAGGAGTTCAGCCACCCCAAGTGATGGATGGTCCACTCGACTCCCTATGTGATTTGGGGATTCTGGCCAAATGAACATGGCTCGTTGGCGTGGACCTAGAACCCCTACGCTTAGGTCATCTTATGGAAGGTCTCGGCTGAACCAAGGCCCTTTGGTACAATGCATCCGGGAAGTTAACCAAGATATCACTTTGAGATTATCAACGCACCCAGGGACACCTCTAATGTTCCAAGTGGGCGCATATCGTGGAGCATCCTCTAACACCCGAGGAGGAGAGTTGTAGTGTTAGCTTAGCAGGTTGTTCCCCTTCTTAAGCGGGTGTTGCTTGCTTGCTTTGGCCGTGGTCATGCCTGTATGAAAAAAAAACATGACAAGGGCTTGTTTGTCGCCCTTCTTCGCTGGGAAGCCGAACATGCCATCACCATTTGTTGGATTTTGTAGGGCATTCTACATGGTGTGAGGAGGACGCCAAGGGATGTGTGGACTAGACCCGTGCACCGACTAGCGCCCTACACGGGCACTGCAAAGACTACAACTAGCGCCGCCTAATAAGGGACGTTAGCCCACGACCATCGGAGCGGTGGGACAACGCTTCCCAAGGGCTCAAAAACTAGGGCCGCATTGTTCTGGACCTTTCTTAGTGACCAAGGAAGCCACAAAGTTGCTTTTTTACCCCTTGCCCTTCAAGATATAAGACAGGGAAAAGGGTGTCGTGAAAGAACAAGCTCATTGCTCTCCTCGACCCAAATTGTAAACCTCCTGAGCATTCTAACATGAAATCTCTCTTTCTTTGGACGTAGGGCTCGATGCTTGAACCAGATAAACCCTCTCATGTCTTGAGTGTTAACCACCAAAGTTATACACATCGACCATCTAATTACTAATCATGGCCGGTTACCAACCCAGAGAGTTGGCTCACCAGGTTGGGGAGTCATGTGTGTTCTCCAAGCTTCAATGGCTCACATCATTGGTGACGTTAAGACCGGAGGTGCTGCCCATGAGAGCAGCATTCACTACTCCTATGAGGCCTTCTCCAATGGTGTCGCCTTTCCTCCCAACCAAGCTCTTAGCTTTGGGGAGTTTCGATTACATTGCAAACCATAACGACGGGTAGTGGTCTATGATGACTTGTTGCCCGAGGCCCTACAAACGCCTTTCCTCACAACAACCATGTCGAGGACCCATTCATCGTCACCTTTAAGGGGTGGTGTCACGCCTAGGACTCTGTCCTTATGGGTTCCACCTCAGTGACCTGCCTCACCATGGCCACTACCTCGAGCACCAAGTGGAGTGACAAAGGAGGGCTGCCCGGTGCACACCTTTCTTACCATTAGGGTGCTCTAGCTCCACCGACACACACTGGCCTCGACAAGCAGTGCCCTAAGGGCACCTTTGGTAGGACCGCTGCCCTTTGGTCACTTACGCCTCAGGTCAAAGGAGTTGAGAGGGTGGATGGTGCGCCATCCATGCTGGACCTCGTATAACCCTAAAGACTATTAGTCTATGTCGGTGTAATTGCTCGGTAGTTCCACTACTAGACTGCCTCGATGGGGGACCCTTGCAACCGGTGACAAGGGTCATAACCCAAGGAAGGAATAGCGCACGATGATAAAGGAATCAACTCTAAAAACTCAATGGGACAGGATCTTCAATAACAACTTGAACTAGCCCGGGCTGGCCTCTTGCTCTTTTTAGGGCGGCGTTTCCCCTCTCAGATGGGCTCAAGACGGGATGCTTCTCCCCCGAGGACCTAGGTGCCCTTCTCCATGGTTGTGGATTCCCATGTTGCACTCCTCATTGAACAAGAACCTAAGGTCATCCGGGAGGCCGACCCTCGCTTCCCTCACGCCCCTCAATGGAGGCATCGGGGTGGTCAACACATTCCCACGAACGTCTGGTCCAACAGTTCGAGTTAGCCCCACGACTTATCGACTAAGAGGAAAAACTTTGAAAACTGCAAGATCAAATGCAAAGAACTTACCATGAGGCGTGGGTTCACCTCCCAGAAAGGGGCAGGTTGGTCTCTCCTCCCCAGGCCCATCGCTAGCTGCACTTTTATGTAGACGATGTACTCATCGGACTCGCACGATTGGTCGTTTGAAGTTAATACAAACAGTTCCAATTGCTAAGCCTTGTACATGTGACACTATATGCTAGTTCAGGTCCTTTTATTATACATAGGCCTCTCGTATTTCCATCGTACACTTATTATATATTGGGTCTCTCCTTCCTTCTCTCTCTCTTTTTAATACTAGTAGTAGTAGAAATGGATATTATGGATTAATGCATGCGTGTGTGCATTGCTTGAATCCTACCAGGCCACCCGGCACAGCCATGGGCCGGTGAAAAAGCATGGCATGCAAGCACTGGAGCTAAGGTCATGCCGATCGATCAAGGCCACAGGCCAAGCCTTCGCCCTAAACCAAGCCGAGTAGCCCGCCTCAGCCAGCATGTCGGGACACGCCTGAGGCCCAATAACAGTGTCGCATCTCATTTTCCTTCATTTAACTTCACCATTACAAAATCAAATTCACCAGTCCAGAATCTCTACAGAAGCATTCTTTCAATAATCAAAATTCAAATTCATAACGGTAAGAGGCAACAGATCAAAATGAAACCAAAATAGCAAATATTATTGAGTTGTTCACTTATATAGTGGTGGTTGCCTCAGTAGGGCTTTCACCCTCCTGTTATATATATATATATATATATATATATATATATATATATATATATATATATATATATATATATATATATATATATATATATATATATATTTCTAGGTAAAACTCACACCTCGTGAAAATCCTAGACAAGAACATCGCCTTGGGCTGCTCCTGTTTTGTTTGTGGAGAAGGATGACACAAAAAGGCTCTATGTGGACTATATGGCACTTAATCAAGTGAAAATCAAGAACAAGTATTATTTATCCCCTGTTGATGTGTGATTTTTTTGCGCCTTTGGCTACGTGTGGTTGCATCAACCTCGCTACTACATGATCGGCTACCTTGACATCGACAATTATGCAACGACTCTGGTCAAAGCTTTCGTGTCATCATTACCGTCCATGACACTCCCACTATAATCGTGGGAGATAATAGAGGAGAGAGAGAAGAGACAACACCGAAATGGGACGGAGGCACCACCCTAAGTGACAAATTATCCATCAAAGGCATAGTTGATGATAGAGAAACGGATAAGACGGTGGAAGCACAAAACTTCAAACTCAGTCACATTCTCTCCTGCCGCGACTGAGGAATGTTAGAAGTATAGACTGTTACAGTTAGAGATAGAGATAGAATCATAGATATAACAGGTTTGGGAATAGTATCATACTCTAACCAAATTGACTAGCTAGTAACTGAACTAGATAAGGAACGATCTGATCTTTTCATCTTTGTTTTTAATTTTCCCTCTATTTTCAATATTTGTTTAGTGAGACTTTGGAGGAGTAGAGAGACCTTGCAATTTTTTTTGAGTAAAATGCATGGATAGTCTATTAACATGTGAGAGTGTCGATTTGGTCCATCAGGTTTGAAAGTGTATTTTTTGGTCCAAAATCTTAATCAATGGTGTATTACCCATTTATTTTATGTTTATATTTAGAAACCCCCCTATATTTATTTTTCTTTCACAACCTTACCCTTCCCTATCTTCGAACGCACGAGATCTCTTCTACGGCGGTGCTGGCGTACGTGCTGTCCTCCACGCCGGCAGAGGCCGCGCGCGTCGCCCACAGACGGCGCCACGCCGCTCCACATCTCGGCGGCCGGTGGCGCCCGCGAGCACCGTCGTGGCTGCGTACCTCCTCCTCGCCGCGGGTGCATCCGCGGACGCGCTCGCCTTCTCGGGGCTCCGCGCCGGGGACATCCTACCGCGCGCCAACGCTGACGCCAACAGGAACCGAGCACTCCGCGTGCTCCTCAAGTCCCCCGCGGCGTCTCTGTCGTCCTCGCCCAAGAAGTCTACCTCGCCGCCGCCTTCGGTGGCCACGGCTCGACGCGCACCCGCCAGGACCGTGCCAGACTACACGGACCTGCTCGGCTCCGTCGATCCGGCCATGCTGTCCTAGCTGCACGCGCTGTCGCTCAAGCAGGCCGGCGACATGCCGGCCTACAACTCCATGGCCAAGGCCCCAACACCGCGTTTGGGCTCGACCACTCCGCCATGGCCAGGCCATCATGAGCTCCCGCGCTCGCTTATGTCGCAGCAGGCCACCACCCCGGTGGGAGCCCAGACTAACCTACCGTAGCCACGACGTCGTTGCGGCGGAGCTGGCCCTGCACAGCAACAAAGAGGCAATGAGCCCCAACGGCTACATCCCGCCGCTGCCTTCAGTCCCACCAGCAGCAGCGCGTGACGGAAGAAGCTTTTTCTTCTTCAGCAGGATTCCCTGGCTCTACAACCTCGAGGACCTGCTGCGCACGTCCGGCGAGGTTCTTAACAAGGGCACGTACAGCACCACGTGCAAGGCCACGATCGAGTCTGGGCCGGTCATGGCGGTGAAGCGCCTCAAGGAGACCTCGTTGTCAGAGCGCGAGTTCTGGGACAAGGTCGCGGCCATCAGCGGGATCGACCATCCCAACGTGCTCTGTGCGTTCGGCACAACGGCAACAAGAAGGCGATCGCCGTGAAGAGATCCCCACGCGCCTCCTCGACGAGCCCCCTGCCACCGGAACAGCCATCTGTGTACCAGGGGAGCACCACGGATACATACAATGTCTGTTCTGCTGTCTGTGTGAATTCCTAGAATATACAAACAATAACCCGTCTATGGGTTGTACATGTCCTAATATTAGAAGCTGCATCATTGATGTAGGCAATGAAGTGCATCCTATTAAAGAGCAGGAAGCTTATGTTTTGCAGCATGAATGAACATCGTACCTTACCTACAAAGAATGACCACGGTTAAGGATGGCCAAAGCAAAGAATACATCTAGAATCAATACGACGTTATCATAAATTTTAATTAGTCATTAAAAAGTGTGTATTCTCTTAAAAATATAGCCATGATAAAATTGGAATTACATGGGAGATCCTTAGTTTTGCTAGTTGTCTTTGAAATTACCTTTGTTTATGCCATCGTAGAAGACTTAATTTAATGTCCAACTTAGATGACGTTCATTGCTTCCGCGTTCTCTGATGATGTGTTCTTTGTTAGATTGTAGTGTGGTAATACTCTAGAAGGAAATTTATGTTGTTGTTTTCTTCTGGGGTGTTATAAGGAATCACCTCATTAGACCAACACTTACCACGCTTATTACCCAGTTGTCTAGATGCATACATGATGTCGTCTTAATGTTGGAAATTATTACATAATTAATGCAAGCAGTGAAGGCATGTCAATGATGGAAAGTGCATCTTATTAAGAGTAGGAAGCTTATGTTTTGCAGCATGAATAACATTGTACCTCACCTTCAAAGAATGACCATGGTTAAGGATGGCCAAGGCAAAGAATACATCTAGAATCGATACGTACTTATCATAAATTTCAATTAGTCACTGAAAAATGTGTATTCTCTTAAAATATAATCATGATAAAATTGGGATTACATGGGAGATCCATGGACAAGACAGACATTTGTGTTGTTTGCCTCGCACCTCGAATCCTTTTATTATACAAAGGCCTCTCAAATCTCTCGTTAGACACTTATTATGTATTCCGTCTCCATTTCTTCTCTCTTCTCCGTGTTAATAATAATAACAGAGCAAAGCCTGGCTCTAGCTATATATGGAGACGAAAAGAGGACATCGTCGTGCGTCGTCAGCAGTAGCAGTAGTAAAAAATGGATATTATGCATGCATGGATCAATGCATGCGTAATGCATTGCTTAGAAGTTGCATACATCCAACCTAAGCCCCAGCCAGACGGTAAGAGGGTGCAAGTAGGTCGGCTTATTTGGCGGTGTAAGCGGTGTCGGGCTTCCGATCTTGGGGATGACGTCGTTGTAGACGCCTTGGTGCCTCCCTCGGTGGTGATTTGGGCGGTGACGGGAACTTGAGCGGCTTATCGCTGTCCTCCTCCAGATGGCGCCCAGAGTGCTTGAGGGGCTCGTGCGACGTCGCCGCCCTTCTCCTTGATGTCAACCGCCACAATATCGCCGTCGCCATCAACGTGCTTGACCAACGGCGCCGGTAGTTGGGGTTGCACCCCTTCTCCACGTGGAAGGTGACCTTTTCGCCAGACTTGCACTTGACCCACCGAATCGCATGTCAATGATGCCCGCCTTATGACCTTCTCCTCCTCGCCTTTCTTGGCCATGGCGCCAACGCCGGCTGGGCCGTGTCGAAGTGGTACGCGGACGATGGGCTCAGAGTTCATGTCTGTGATGTACACCACCACCAGGCTCGCGGAGCACTCGGCTGGGCTTGTCGCACTTGATCTCGGCAGGAGCCGCAAACCGAGGCCGTCCCTTGAAGATGGGGACGTTGCAAGACTTGATACAAGGTGACTACGTTGTCCATTTAGTTGGTATGCACATCAACCAAGTTATTACGGGCATATTATTATAAGATAGCTAACCATAATATCTAACTACATTTGCTAACTAAATTACCTAACTATCGACCTAAACAAATAAGTATCTAACTATCTCTATAACAAGATAATAGATTTGGTAACTACACTTACTAACTAGCTAACTAAATCAATAGGTAACTAACTCCCTAATTATGTCTCTAACAATCTAATCTAACTAAATAAGCTACATACATATATTCCTAAGTATATAATATAACTAAATAAATAAGCATCTAACTTTCAACCTATGTAATTAAATTTGCTAACTAAATTTGCTAAATATTCTAAAAATTTTACTAACTAAATTACCTAAAGTAGATTAACTAATTTACTAACTAAATTACAGCGGGGCGCAGGAGCCCAGAGGGGAAGGGGCGCTTGAGGGTCTTGGAGGCCAGCCGGGTCAAGGGAGCTCAGACGAAGCGGTGGCCGGCCTCACTCAGAGACAGAGATGAGGAGGAGGGAAGGGGCGATGAGGGTGGCTGGATTCGCACGGCGATGGGGGGCGCTGATGGCGTATCACTGCGATTCTGCGCTGAGGCACAAGGGCCGGAGGGGTAGGGAGGCGCAGGGCTCGGACGGGCGGGCTATGGCTCGCTGCGGTGAAGGAGGCGTGGCCGATCGCGGCCACGCGACACGACGACGGGCGGGCGCGTGAGAGTGCGAGCAGAGGCAGCAGAGCAGCGAGAGAGAGTGGCAGCCGCGGCCATGGCCGTGGGTTTTGAATCAATGCTCGGCGCCAATATCTGTGGCGTCGAGCTCGGCGCTAAGATCTGTGGCGCCGAGGTACCGGCCGCGTGAGCGCCACCTAGGATGGCCTGCTATGCTCGGCCAGGCAGCTCGGCGCCAAGATCTGTGGTGCCGAGACGTGTTACGTCGGCACCATGAGTCCTGGCACCGACCCCGAGGGTCTAAAGGTGAGTTTAAGTCTCCCTGGGGGCCAAGCGTAAATTTTCTTCAAAAAAGGGCCAAATTGTAAAAAATTAGGCGCGCCCGTTGGATCGCCTCTCTCTTGGGCTACAACAGACCGAGAGCCCACTTGATCCTAGCCCTTTTTCCATTTATCTATTTTCAGAAATCCTTGTCAACTTCAAAAATTCATATGAAATTCATCCTAGCTCCAAAAATTATGAAACCAGTTTCTCTACCTCCAAGTGCAGTTCTTGAGTCTAGTTGAGTTAGGTTTTTATCATGGTTTTATTGCTTCTTCTTAGTGGCCGTTATCGGCATTTTCTTTCTTGTAGCGACGACTCGAGCTCCGGCGGATCAACGACGCACTTTTGGAGGTGATGGACTTTGATGGTGGATGACGGTGATATTTAGATTAGTAGCTGGTTTCGTTCTACACTCAAGGATGCCTCTGGATGGGAGATCACCAAGCTTCACTTCCATAATAGTTTAATGGTGTTTTGCTTGTTGCTAGTCGTATCCAAATTATTGTAATATATTTATTTGTGCAATTTGATGTTGTATGACTCTGTAATCAATTTAGTAATTGACGTCCGTGATAGCCGAGATATCCTAGGACTATCACGGAGAGGGGCAAAAAGGTTAGAATTTCTATTTTGGAAATCCCGGTCAGTTACACAAGATGAGGTCCATTGTGATGAAGGTGGACAAATGATGATGATCAAGGCTCCAACTTGGAAAAGAAGAAAGAGAAAAATAAAAATCTATAGAGATCAAGGCAAAGGTATAAATATGTTTTTGTTTCACCAATCAAGACACCATAGAGGTGTGATTGGGTTTAGAATTGATAGTCGTACTATATGAAGTGGGAAAATCATAGTTAAAATTGTTATCAAGTGACACTAGGTGAATTCATACTTGCATATGCATTAGGACCTAGTGTCCTAACTTAACACGCTTGAAAATTCTTTGACAATGTTGCTAACTCACATATACATGTGTTGGAATACTTGGAGTTGACACACATGCACAAGCGTGAAGTGATTGGAGATGAAAAGGAGGTGTTTAGGGGCTTCGGACCTAGGGCCTGGTTGGTCCGAAACCATACCCTAGGGGCGTGGCGCTGTGTGCCTGCGTCCAGACCCTGTCGCGTAGGGGCAACCAGAGCATCGACGCTCGGTATGTTTGGCCTACCACCCCTAGTTCGACATGCAGACGGAGCGGGTGAACTAGTGCCTCGAGACCTACCTCCGTAGCTTCATCCATGCTTGCCCTCGGCAGTGGGGTCGGTGGATTCCCATGGCGGAATACTGGTACAACACCGGTCAAGACTCCTCCTCAATCGATGGCCATTTGAGGTACTATATGGTCATCCACCTCACCATTTTAGCCTTTCTCCGCCACCCGCTTCCTCTGTTTCGAATGTTACAAGTGTGGTGACTGAACACTCTACGATGTTTTATGTCGTTCGACAACACCTTCTGCGAGCTCAACAACGCATGAAGACCTAGGTGGGACGAAAAGCCGCTCCGGCGCGCATGTTCGGGAGGAGGACTTCGCCGTCTGCCAAGCTCCAACCCAACGTCCGGTCATCTCTAGCTCCAAGGGCGAACCAGAAGCTCTTCATCAAATACTTCAGCCCCTACAAGATCTTGTCTAGGATCGGCTCCGTCGCCTACAAGTTTGCTGATAGCAAAGGGTGCCACGCTCCACCCTGTCTTCCATGTGTTGTTGCTCAAGCCCACGCCCAATGACAAGATATCTGCTTCGGCCATCCTCCCCGACATCATCAAGGCCTGCAAGTCACGGCTATCCTCCAGTTGTCGTCTTCACCAACACGGCTCTGAGACCGTCGCCTGTACTCATCAAGTGGTCGGGGTATAGACATCGACTGCTACTTGGGAATATGTAGAAACATTGCAACAACGCTTCCATCTGGCGCCGGGCTTGGGGACAATCTACAACCAAAGGAGGGGGGTGTCACGGACCTGCCCCTCACCCTAGAGATGGACAACCCATAAGGAGCAAAGGAGCAAGGCCTAGGAGCGTGCGGGTATCTAGCCCAGAATGGGCTTGTGAAGTGTGTAGCGAGAGCCCGAGTTGGATGGAGATAGGAGAGGAGAGCCATAGTAATGGAAGAATGTGGAATTGTCATCGAACAAAAGTTGTAGGGTCCTTCCTAAGCTTTCCGAATGTTATAGAACAAGTATTTTGGACCAATATATCTCTCTCGGTTATGAATTTTATAATATTGCGGTCATGTTTTCACCATCGTAAAAGTTTAGTTATGTTATGAGGATGTTTATGCCATCTTGGAGATCCCTTATGCTGAATCCTATTATACAAAAGTTGTATATAACGGAGTTTCCTATCATCTGGAATATTTTGAGAATTTTTGGACATATGTTTAAAAGTATATAAAAAGACATAGACAGTGCTGCTATCAAGAATGGCAGCACAACTTAGAATCTTGAACGGCGGGTTTGGGGGCATTCTAGTGTGCTATTTATTGTTTGAACTTGTTGGTATGATGATGTTGGTACTGAGGGTGGCTTGTGATCAGATGGTTTGCCTTTGGAACGTGCTTAGCTCTTTTGCTTGATCATCGGTAAAGGCAAGTAAACGTGGCGCCGTGGTCCACATGATTTGGCTTTGTTGTTTGAATTGCCTCCACTAAATTTATAGTATCTCACACTAGCCATAAAATCTAAAATTTGGAGTTATTTGCTTTACTTTGAAGTATATTGTTTCATATCTTGTGGTATAACATTTGGATTATGAAATGTATGAAGTGCATACATTGCAACATTTGCATTTGTACTTTTTCCATTGATATGCATTTGAAGAAATCGTAGCCGAATTGGTGCGATAAGTACGGTACAGCAACTCACGTTGATGAGCAATGTGGTTGCAGCCCTCACTCCCGCTCCTTGGGATGTGTGGATAAAACTGAAATCATGCATTGCATTGCATTATTTGCATTGTACTTTACATTGTACTTGGAAGTATATTTATATTACTATGAAGCAACTGATGTCTATATTATTATGCGATTTAAAGTTGATGCTTAATCGAACTGTGATTTAAATAACTTGGTTGAGGCAGTTTGCTTGCTAAGGCTTTCCATAAACCTCACACGCTTGTTCCCCCATCTTAGATACATGAGCTTCAAGGATGTTTGGCGGGACGGGAGTAGCTGCACGAGTGCATACTTGTTGGCCTAAAGTTCAAACAAGCACATTTGTTATCACATATTAGTTGGTTGTCAGAGTTTTTTTTGTACGTTATATTAGACACCTTAGTTTTGCTAGTTGTCTTTGAAATTAGCTTTGTTTATGCCATCGTAGAGGACTTAATTTAATGTCCAACTTAGATGATGTCTGCTTTGCTTTCCGCGTTCTCTGATGATTTGTTCTTTTATAGATTGTAGTAGCGTGATAATACTCCGAAGGAAATTTATGTTGTTGTTTTCTTACGGGTGTTACAAGGAATCACCTCGTTAGACCAACACTTACCAAGCTTATTACCCGGTGGTCTAGATGCATACATGACGCGGTCTTAATGTTGGAAATTGCATAATAAATGCAAGCAGTGAAGGCGTCACAATGATGGAAAGTGCATCTTATTAACAGTAGGAAGCTTATGTTTTGCGGCATGAATAATATTGTACCTCACCTTCAAAGAATGACAATGGTTAAGGATGGCCAAGGCAAAGAATACATCTAGAACCAATAAGTACGTATCATAAATTTCAATTAGTCATTGAAAAATGTGTATTCTCTTAAAATGTAGCCATAATAAAATTGGGATTACATGGGAGATCCATAGACAATACAACATTTGTGTTGTTTGCCTCGCTCCTCGAATCCTTTTATTATACAAAGGCCTCTCAAATCTCTCGTTAGATACTTATTATGTATTCCGTCTCTCCTTTTCTTCTCTCCTCTCTTTTTTAATAATAATAATAACATAGCAGAGCGTAGCTCTAGCTATATATGGAGACGAAGAAGGATGGCGGCGGCGGTGTCACAGCAGCAGTAGTAGTAAAAAATGGATATTATGCATGCATGGATCAATGCATGAGTAATGCATTGCTTAGGAAGTTGCATGGCATCCAACCCAAGCCCCAGCCCAGACCAGTAGGTCTGCGTGTCGGCTTATTTGGCGGTGTAGGCGGTGTCGGGCTTCCAATCTTCGGGGATGACGTCGTTGTGAACGCTCTTGGTGCCTCCCTCGGTGGTGATTTGGGCGGTGACGGGGAACTTGAGCGGCTTATCGCTGTCCTTCCTCCAGATGGCGCCCCAGGAGTGCTTGAGGGGCTCGTACGCGTCGCCGCCCTTCTCCTTGATGTCAACCGCCACAATGTCGCCGTCGCCGTCAACGTACTTGACCAGCAGCGCCAGGTAGTTGGGGTTGCACCCCTTCTCCACGTGGAAGGTGACCTTTTCGCCGTACTTGCACTTGACCCGCCGGAACTGCATGTCGATGATGCCCGCCTTGCGCAGCTTCTCCTCCTCGCCCTTCTTGGCCATGGCGCCGAACGCCGTGCCGGCCAGGTCGAAGTGGTACGCGGCGATGGGCTCGTAGTTCATGTCCGTGATGTACACCACCACGGGCTCGCCGGAGCACTCGACCGCTTGTCGCACTTGATCTCGAAGCAGGAGCCGCAGCCGAGGCCATCCTTGAAGATGGGGACGTTGCCGCACGCGCCCATGCTGTTGAAGGGGGCCTTGTTCACATCCTTGTACCCGCACCCGCCGCCGTTGTCGTCGGGGCCGGCGCCCGTCGGCTTGCCGTACCACGTCGCCTTCGCTTCCAGCCAGTCGCTGCCGTAGCTGGCCGTGATGTTCTTGCCCGGGGGAACCTTGGGAGGACCGCACCAGGCGCCGCCCACCAGAAACGCCAGCGCCACCGCCACCTGCATCGACCTCGACATCATCTTCGCTCCCATCTTTCTTCGATCGATCGGTGGATGGTATGTAACTGCGATGCGATGAATGAGTAGGCGGGGCTGGTATTTATGGCCGCGCGCGCGCATGCATGCACACCGGGGAGATAGCATGCATGGATAGGAGATACAAGTCATGCATGGCCGAGCGAGCTTTGCTAGCTATTCCATGCATTGCGTACCGTAATAACAAGCTAATAAGGGAGATGACCACGGGCGCCCCTACAGCTGTTCGTCTCGCCGCGATCCGAGGTACTCCTAATCCTGTCTTCAGTCCCCCCTGATGCTCGATCTCTTCTTCATTGGAATGTCGTCGTCGTCGTCGTTACATTACACGCTGCAGCGCCAAATGAATGGAAGGAAGCAGAGAGAGATGAATGGATCGATACCATGCATATATATTGACCGACCGAGAAGAGAGGAGGTTACGTCCGTTTTTTTTTTCGAGACGAGGAGGTTACGTATGTTTGGCAGAGCACCACCTCACTTAAAAAAATGAAATCATTTTTTTTTACTTTAGCTCCTCCACAAGCATGTCTACTGGTAGAGCTAAAATTGTTTTAGTAAAATATTTGGCAAAACAGTTCTACACGTGAAACTCCTTAAAACATGCTGTCACAAAATCCTACGCAAGATCCACCAGAGTGAGTGGGAGTTAGAAGAAGCTACTATTTCACCTTCATCTCTCATCCCCCCATTTTGAGAACACGTTCTAAAAAGCTCATCAGGTGAAACTATTTTAATGTCGACTCCTAGAGTTGGTGGAGAGTGTTGAGCCAAACAGGGTCGAGGTGGATGACAAATGGGTCCATCTGTGTTTATAAAATGTAGGTCCAGTGTTAAATCTGCAAACCTCCCATGTTTGGAGTCCTATTTTTGCAATTTTTTCGGCTATGGACTAGTTTGAACAGATTCAGCCCAACGCCAGATTAATTTGAGATTTTATTTTTTACCTTAGGTTTTAGACGTAAGGTTCAATTCAAATCTAGAAAAAAAAACAAATCTGAGTGGACGCCTGGACGGAAGGTACGATATAGTAGGGGTTTGGACTTTGGAGACACGTGCATAGCCAATCAGTCATGCATTGTATTTTTGAAAGTATAAATTCAAAAATAAATTAGTTATAACTTCTACGTGTTTGTTAGGCAATAGATAGATATATTTCATAAACTTCAACCTTTTTATGGATTTCAAAGGCGATCATCGGAGTCTCCTCCTTCAAATGAGCTTGAGGAGAAAGGAGCGATACGATATTTTTAGGGATCTATCTAGCCAATAACCGGTTATTTTAGCCCCTTCCAACAATTAGATTTTTGTCCATGCACTTACATTGTCTTATAGTTATATTTACACCGCCTTATTACTATATTTACAATGATTTCTCCAGTGTAATTTATTGGACAGAGTAATGTAATTTGGGAGTAACACTTACCACGCTTATTACCCAGTTGTCTAGATGCATACATGATGTCGTCTTAATGTTGGAAATTATTACATAATTAATGCAAGCAGTGAAGGCATGTCAATGATGGAAAGTGCATCTTATTAAGAGTAGGAAGCTTATGTTTTGCAGCATGAATAACATTGTACCTCACCTTCAAAGAATGACCATGGTTAAGGATGGCCAAGGCAAAGAATACATCTAGAATCGATACGCATTTATCATAAATTTCAATTAGTCACTGAAAAATGTGTATTCTTTTAAAATATAATCATGATAAAATTGGGATTACATGGGAGATCCATGGACAGTACAGACATTTGTGTTGTTTGCCTCGCACCTCTAATCCTTTTATTATACAAAGGCCTCTCAAATCTCTCGTTAGACACTTATTATGTATTCCGTCTCTCCATTTCTTCTCTCTTCTCCGTGTTAATAATAATAACAGAGCAGAGCCTGGCTCTAGCTATATATGGAGACGAAGAAGGAGGACATCGTTAATAAATCGTCGCAGTAGCAGTAGTAAAAAATGGATATTATGCATGCATGGATCAATGCATGCGTAATGCATTGCTTAGGAAGTTGCATGGCATCCAACCCAAGCCCAGCCCAAACCAAGTGGGTCTGCGTGTCGGCTTATTTGGCGGTGTAGGCGGTGTCGGGCTTCCGGTCTTCGGGGATGACGTCGTTGTAGACGCTCTTGGTGCCTCCCTCGGTGGTGATTTGGACGGTGACGGGAACTTGAGCGGCTTATCGCTGTCCTTCCTCCGGATGGCGCCCCAGAGTGCTTGAGGGGCTCGTCTGGCGTCGCCGCCTTTCTCCTTGATGTCAACCGCCACAATGTTGCCATCGCCGTCAACGCGTTTGACCACCAAGCAGCGCGCCGGTAGTTGGGGTTGCACCCTTCTCCACATGGAAGGTGACCTTTTCGCCGTGCTTGCACTTGACCCGCCGGAATCGCATGTCAATGATGCCCGCCTTGCGCAGCTTCTCCTCCTCGCCCTTCTTGGCCATGGCGCCGAACGCCGTGCTTCGCCAGGTCGGTGGTACGCGGCGATGGGCTCGTAGTTCATGTCCGTGATGTACACCACCATGGGCTCACCGGAGCACTCGGCCGGGCTTGTCGCACTTGATCTCGGCGGGAGCCGCAGCCAAGGCCGTCCCTTGAAGATTGGGACGTTGCGCGCGCGCCCATGCCGTTGAAGGGGCCTTGTTCACATCCTTGTACCCGCACCCGCCGCCGTTGTCGTCGGGGCGGCGCCTGCGTCGGCTTGCCGTATCACGTCGCCGCAGCTTCGGCCCGATCGCCGCCATAGCCGGCCGTGATGTTCTTGCCCGGGAACCTTGGGAGGACCGCACCAGCGCCGCCCACCGAACGCCGCGCCACCACCACCACCACACGCCGACCTCGACATGATGATGATCGTCGGTGGATGGTATGTAACTACGATGCGATGAATGAGCAGGTGGCTGGGGCTCGTATTTATATTATGGCCGCGGCGTGCCAGCGATCGGACGAGCTTGCATGCACGCACCGGAGACGGAGAGGTCATGCATGCATGTCCAAGCGAGCTTTGCTCTTGGCAGCCGGTTAATTGGTTCCATATATATGTCGGATGGAGGTGGCACGGGAGGCCCCTGCACACCTGTTCGTCTTGCCGCGATCCGAGGCGCCCGTTTTCATGTCTCTGGTCTTGCATTGGAATGTTGTCGTCGTTACACACACGTTGCGGCCAACTAAGGGCAAGTGCATTGCTACTGTCTCATAGGCACTATCGTGCATTGCCACATAATTATGAGACGACTTAAGAGGTAACAAGTGTAGTGGATTATCTTTTAAGTTGTCTCGTAGTAATTCTAGAGTCATTAATTTATGGATACAAAATAGAATGTTTGCGAGTTGCATGACAACAACCACTTGTACAATGGTATGTAAATTGTCTCATAGTCCTAAATTTTGTATATTTCTATTTGAAACTCGAGTGATCTATCCTCTTTGATCACCCAAGCAATTTGAGGGAGCAAATCACACAAATGGAACCAAAATGAAAATCTGAGTGATCGAGGACCTATGTGTCAGAGATATGGGCCAGGGGTACCTGCACCGCCCGTATATATGACCACCGCTAAGCTATCGGTCCAACAGCCGTCAAGAGGGAGGCCCGCGAGGGCCGGCGCCATCGACCAACGTGGAGATCAAGGCAAACCAAGGCAGGCATATATGGACAATAGATATGATCTTTCTGTTGTGCATATCGTGTAACAAACTAGAAAACAATCTGTTAGCCCAATCGTCCTCTCTGTAACCATACCTCTCCTGCCTCTATAATGGAGGGAAGGGACCTCGGGCACGGGATCCATCTTCCACCTATTTCAATCTACTACATAGCTAGGAGCAATAGCCCCTGTAATTGAGCATACAAATACAAGAGCAGCCGCACCACTGGAGTAGGGATTAGCGCGCACTGCGCCCTGAACCAGTATAAATCCCTGTGTCTCGTGTGCTACCATCCGATTCCGTCTACGCGATCACGTTGCTGGATTTTACCGGAGCAAAACAATCCGACACTATGATCACACGAGTAATCGTAAAGGCTAAATCACCTAAAAATCAAAACAAGCTAAATTCGTGTGAAACAAACATTAATATCACTCAAATTATGCAACTCCTACATCCACCATGAAATGGGACAAATAAAAACAAGAACAAATAAACATAATACAAAGAAATTATTACAAATACAAAGAAATCAAAAAAAATAATCAAAGTACAAAGAACAGAAAATTTATATGGATTGCAAAAACCAAAAATAATATGAGGACATTGCATGAACCAAACAAATCAAAGAAAATAAACAAATTACAAAGAACAGAAAATTTCTATGGAACACAAAAACCCAAAAAATTTCTATGAATTGCAAATTCAAATAAATTCTGAGAGCACTGCTCATGCAGACAAATCAAAATAAAAGTACATTCAAACTAAATAGGCTACGAGGACATTGTTGCAATCAAAATAGACCAAAGCAAACATAGTCCATTAAAAGTATAACCCAAACATGTCCCTAATAAACTTCTTTCACTTAGTACTAGTTACATCAATAGTACCTATGAATTACAACTGATCAATCACTGTAAGTGTA